GACGACGACGGCGGCGGCGGCGGCGCCAGCGGCGGCGGCAGGTGCCGGTGCGGCGCCGGCCTCGGCTCGGGTCGCCGCTCCGGCGGAGGCGGCGGCGGAGGCGGCGGCGGCGGCGGAGGCGGCAGCGTGGCAGGCGGCGGCCGACGGGCGATCGGCGCTGGCGAGGCCGGTGGCGACCAATGCAGGTGGTCGTGGTCCTGGTGGACGGGCGCCGGCGTGCAGGGCATGGCGTCGGCGCCCACCAGGCTGTTGCGCGCCCGCTCCGAGCGCATGATGGGCGCCACCCGATCAAACTCGCCCAGAATCGCCGTGATCCCCGGGTTCTGCCGCTTCACCTGCCACAAGGAACCAAAGCGTCAATGTCAGCTGAAGTGTGACAAGCCATGCGCACCGAAAGTCGGGCATGAGCGAGTACGGGCGGACGTAAGCAAGTATGGCGGGCAGCACGAGGAGGTGTGTACGCGCCGGTCAGGGGTGGCTGGTTCGTGCAGCGAGACCGCGCGGGCCGATTCCGCGCCCAGAAGTGCGCCGTTTAGATTGGAGAGAGATATAGTACGCGCTTAGATGCACGGTGATACGACACGCTGGTCGTCCGACGGCACGGCGGGAAACGACGACGCCAAACGACGCCAAACGACGCGGCCGATTACAACACAGCTCAGCCGCGGCTAAACGTCACGCCACGACAGCTTTTAAGTGCGATGGCCCGGTGAAAAGAAAGCACACCGGCGAGCGCCCGCCGGCAGCGTCAGCGCCATGTTACAGTTAATCTCTCAGTCAGTCGTCATTCTAACGGTGCCGCCAGACCTTGGCAGGCGTTGACTCTGGCCGGCTCCCGGCACTAGGCATGCTTCACCACGCCCGCGCCACACAATACAATCGAGATCGGCTCCGATCGCCGGCGAGCTCGCCTCGATCGGGCGCACAGCGCCGGCGGCCGGCCGTTTCCAGGCCGCCGCAGCCCGCGCCGGCCGCCCCACATTTTCCCGACCATTGTTCCCCGGGTAAAAACTGCGTTTATGTGCACCGGTGGCCCGGGTCGACCTCGTCCTGTATTCGGGCGCCGCACAAATACCGCCGGTGGTCCTCGGCCGGCGGCGTATCGACAAAGCGTAACTGGCTGGAGGCGGTGCCGAGCCTCCGCGCGGGCCGTGATCAATCGGTGGACACCGGCGGCGCTCCCTGCCGCCGCGCCGACCGGCGCCCAGGGCAGAGTCGGCCGCGGGGACGGGCGCGGACCGGGTGTGGGCGGGGTCAGGATAGTTGCTGCCACAGCGAGTGACCAGACTTCGCTTCAGTGGCTTCCTCAGGTGCGAGGTAATCTCGTCGAAGGTCCCCACCATGACGTCAGCTACGAAAGCTCCCGTTCGACGTCACACCGTCTATAATTCGTACCGCACCACAACAGCAACGGCAGCCACCCCTGCCTGCAGATCGGCCCGAGGAACGGAACAGCTCCCCACTACATTCCCACCACGCGCTTCCAGCCCCAAAGAGCTTGTGTGGCACGCATTAACCACGCAGAGCCCCCACGGACGCAGCCGTCCAATCAAACACTCCCATATCAAGACGAACGACTGCGCCACGCCAAAAACAAACTGCCAACGCCGAACCGAAACGCGTCTCGCAGTCCGCGCCTCCTGCAATAACGGCCGCTTTTTACCGTCGGCGCCGACCGAGCGTGACGTCATAGCCGAGACGAGCCGTGCCGCGGCGACGACAAAAACGCCGCGGCCGGTCCGCTGTCGGGCGGGCGCCGTTTCCCGGCCGATCGCGTCCACCACTGGCGCTGCGGCACGGCCAGGTCCAGCGACAGCACAAGAGCCGCGGTGACCCGAATCGTCCCTCACCATCGAAGAAAACGGCGCCGCAAAGTAGTACGCCCCACCCCCCTACGCCGTCTCTGCCAAACAGGGCGCCGTGATCGCCGCGACAGCGGCACGGCCAGCGACGCTGCGGCGGCCAAGTGCGGCTGGCCAGCTGCTGCTGCGGCGGCGGCCGCGGAAATAGCTCGGCGTCGGTTTGCACTGGTGACCGGCAGGGGGACTGCTTTGGCATCGGATCGGCAGCCATGGGCCGGTGACCTTGGCGTGACATTGAGCGCGGCGTGGCGCCCCCAGAGCGGCTGCCGGTCCAAAGGTGCAGCTCGTTGATGATTATTGAGGACATGGTAGCTGGGGCGTCAGATTACCTTTTGGTGCACAGCGCCCGTGTGTGTATGGGTACAGGGATTGTGGTGAGGTCAAGGTGACACCAACATCTGGAAACCTGAACCAAAATCTTTCTTCTCGCCGGATTTCAGTCATTTTATGATGCGATTTAATCCATGTTAATATTATACAGTCATCAAGCTTAAGCTACGTTTAGCAAGTCCGACAACTCTGTTCCTTCCGTGAACTACATGAAAAAACTTATGAAGCATGAGCTCCCACACCGAGAATACTGGGAACGCTCCCACCGTTCCTGCGACACAGAACAGAAGTGCAAGGGAGCCATCATGTGCACCAGTGACCACGCAGGTGACGCGCCCTTAATCACTGAGCATCATCCGGCTCATGCCGCCGTGGCCTGGCGCGGCCGCTTGGCTCGGGTGCTCAGCTCGTGGGGGTGTTTGCTGCAGCAAACGCCGGCCGTTGCACGGTGCAGCGCAGACGACGAGCTAGTGACATGCCCAACAACGTCAACTGAGAACTCCGGCTGACGCTGAGTGTCCTGTTCGCGACACGACTAGCTGGAACTAATGTTGGCGGCCGTAATGACTGTCGTGTCTCGTGAATGAGACAAGAGCGCTTGGCCGATGTGTTTAAGATCACAGCGATCGCTACCACAATGATCCCGAAAGGAGCCTTTCATCAGTAAGCGTGCCTGCAGAGTACTCAGTCGTCCAGCCTAGCCGCGAGATGGGACACGTTCTAAAACTGGCTACTGTCGCGTTATGGCTCAGTGCATGCCGGTCCCATCTTTTTATGGCATTAATTTGATACTTGATAAAGAAGGAAAATAGTTCCCACAATACTGCGAAAGTTGATCCAAACAGAGATACCCAGGCTAAGTTGATGTGGGAATATCAAACCTTACAGCAAATTTCGCACTTGTTGGGCGCTTCCAATACTTAAACAGAACCCTCAGTGATTAAACAGAACCCCCATCGTGACAGCGAGGAACCACGCAGCGGCTGTGAATCAATTGTTCGCGATAGCAGGGCGCAGAAAGCAGTCAAATGTCAACAAACAGACTACGGCGAGCCGGCATCACTAGCACACGCAGTGAAGGAACCCTACCCTACAGCCCTTCTCCAAATAATCTATAACGGTATCCGGAGGTTTCGCGGGCTTCCCCACCGCCAGACGATTAGGGGTTACAGACGACACTTAGAACCTTTGTTTCTGTACAACGCAACACACATTACATCGCACGTTAAGCCTGTAAGGGCAGACGTCCCTTCTTGCCCCAGCTGTGGTGCTGTCTGTAACATAATTCTGAACACGCGCATGCAAGCGCCCCCTCCCCTCTCCCCCCCCCCCCCCCCCGGGCTCCGAGCCGTGCTGCGTGAGGGCCAGCCGGCCGCGCGGCGCGCCGGGTCACCGGGTCCGCCCGGAGGTGCGACCCCGTGACCCGCACGCGGCGCCGGCTGACCCCGGCGGCGGCGCCTTTGTGCCGGCGCCGACCTGTCCGCACACCAACGGCCGGGCGGCTGAAACAAACAGCTGCCGGCGTCGCCCCCGGCGACGGGGCGCACACGCCTGAGCCGCCGCCGGCAGCCGGCCGTCGGCGGCGGGCTGACGGGGACGACGCGGTGCGCGGGAGTCATCGCAAACAAGGCGACGGCCGGGTCCGGTGACGAGCGATGTCCCGAAAAAGAAACGCCGACGAAAGGTCACGGGCGCCAGCGACGGCGGCGAGTGACGACGGCTTTAGCGGCATTATGATACGGTGCCCGGCCGTGGGCTGTGACTTATAAGGGCGCCAATGCGTTGCAGGACGACAAAAAGCACCGCGCAACTACGCGGTGTCGGACATCCCGCGATAATAAAGCGTGTTCAGAGTCGACACAGCGTCATGGCGTGCGCGGCATCTCTGCAGACCCCAGAGAGCGAGAGCCCTGCGAGGCACGTCCCGTGAGTATATTTGGTCGCGTGCTCTGCAGGAGTTCTGTGAATCCGCTTCCGACCTCCGAATGTCAAGCCCACACTCCGCACATGCTCCCGAACAGTGAGAAAACTTAGGCTCCGTCAGAACACCCAGCAGCGATCACAGGTCGCTTATCACGCCATGAGCCCCACTGCTAGACCAGCCACCGCCGCCGACAGTCTCTTGCGGCTCGTGCGGTGCCCGCGAGATAGACACTGCCATTGCTGCATCACGACCCCCGACCCGACGCCGACCTCAGTCGCTGGGACGCGGTCCGACGTGGACCGGCGCGGTCCGACGTGGACCGGCGCGGTCCGACGTGGACCGGCGCGGTCCGCAGCGGACCACGCCGGAAGACGGAACGCCGGTAAGGGGGGGGGGGGAGAGGGGAGGGGCGGGGCCACGGCGAGTGGCGTAGACCGTCCCAGCGCCGATGAAGCGCCATCCAATCTCCACTGGAATCTCGTGGAGGGTCAACACTGAGCCGCGCCGCAGCAGAAGACGGGATTGGAGAGCGATTACAAAAACACAGGCGCGGAAGAAAAAAACGTCGGTAGCCAGCAGATCGCAGTCGGAAGGCGCGGATACTGTCTGGTGCGTGCACATCAGGGCAGTGGGATTCAATATGTCTGAATGTTCGATCGAACCTACCAGCTAAGCGAATTTCCGACCACCTAAATCCGCTCTCGAAATAAGCCCCAAAAGCTATCGAAAAAACCTTGCGCATTAGTTCTTGACCTGCTTGGAAGCAGCCTTTGTAAAACCTGATTCAACTTTAAAGTAGCTGTCGTGACAAAATTCTTTTCATCCCATCAAGATGCAACAAAACAAGGAGAAAATCGTGACTTATGACACCTATTTACAATGGC